CGGCGAGGGAGTAATAGAGTTTTCGAGTGGCTTCGAAAATTTCCTTGACATTTCCTCGACGCAGATTTCTCGCGAACTAGAAAGCGTTCGAAACAACTGGAGCACCTATCAGAAAGCGTAATCTTCTACTTTACAACGCTTTCCTCCGATTTTCAAAGCATTGCCAATGAAGACAGCTACTGTCTTCCAAAGAGTGGGAACTCGCATGTAAATTTCAATTTCCTCGACAATTTCTCGACGTCTCCCACTCTCGAGAATAGGTGTGCTTAGAAAAACGCTCAGCACAATTTAGAAACTAGAAGTCTTGTGCATTCAAAAGCTGCCTTCACTTTCTGAAATGGTTTATCAATGAAGAAAGTTATAGTCCTTTGAATAGGGGGTACATTTGACGATTTTTCCAACTAGCGCGCTCTAGGCACAGCGCGCGACGCGATCGCGGGTAGTTAGCGCCGCTATACTGGAGCGCGAGACTGTTCAACTGTGTAGGGGCAGTACCTCCTTCAATGTTCTACTTTCCGGCCAATGTGGCAAAGGTTAAATGTCTTTAAAGGAAAGAAGGAGAGCCTAATCTGAGCAGAATTGAATCTAGCATTTGGATCAAGCCGCATTTGCGTGGCAGTGGCGCTGCGTCCCTCTCGCACATCTGAAACTAGCATTTTTTGATATGAAACCGGATGTGCAGAGGACAAAAAGGGGTCGTATCAGAGTCCATGTTTTGGAGGGGGGTCGTAAAGAGGCGGTTATTTCCTCGACACGATTTTCACCCTGGTGCAAACGCGACGCTACCGCGCTCAAAGACACTCCTGCAGTAGACTCTCGTGCTCTGAGATGCGCCATGCACTCGTTTGCAATTCAAAATCATTACTGAGTATTCCATTTTGATATGTGCTTGTGTATCGAAATGGAAATTTTTTTGTGATTCTGAAAGCCAAGTCATCGAAGCTTATCATCCTTCATGCGCAAGCAGCGCCATAAGAACTGTACAACAGTGAAGTACTGGGTATTACTAAACTACTTCAGCTCGAATGCTACTTGTGTTTGAATTCAAGCAAAGTGCCTTAGGTGTTTTTGTGGACTGCACTTATTTCTCGTAATGTTAGCTTTTTACTTGGGTGCGAATAGTACATAAAGTCGCGTTCATAGTTCGCGACTCCGGAGATTAGGATAGTACGCGACAATGAAAAACATATGTATTGACGGGAGATTAGGATAGTAGTAGAGTAGGAGATTGCGCTGACAAGATTAGATACGTATCGATTGAAATCGCTGGAGAGTAGTAGATTGCGATATTACGATAGTAGGATAGTAGTAGAGTAGGAAATTAGGATATTGGGTTGTCTCATAATTCCTGTCGCAATTTCGACACTTTTGTTTATTCAAGTTTTATCTCTTCTAGGAAACAACTGATCAATAGCATAACCACCATCATGGTCACTGATATGCGTGCATTTGCTAGTGAGCGTTTGGAAGCTTCCAGCCCAGAATGAAGGAAGCTGGGGGTTGAAGAATTTGGAGAAGTCGTTTTTGGGGTGGTCGCAATCTTTAACTTTCTTCTCTGGCAGATGCTTATTCAAAGCGCAGGGGAGGCGATAGTCCGATAGAGCGATGCCAATGCTATATGGTGGATATCGTGGCCCTGGCTATCTCCCTCAGAACGTGGTGAGTTGGCATTGCAATGTGAGGTCTGGTGTACATTCGGAGGAAGGAGGATCTGAGACGTTTCTGACGATTCCCTCGCAACCCCGAAGCCAGCCTAGAGGGCTATTCCGCGCTGACTTTAGCAATGCTTGTCTTCATACATTGAAGTGGTTCCCAAACCAGGCCACCTAGCGAATCCAACAAAACGAGAGCGATATTCTCAGAAAACGGAGTTCGGGCTTTGGTTGAGCTGGTGCTTCCTGGCTGCGAGGCAGCCATCAGACGTGCCGCATGTTGTTGTCGCAGTGGACTCATGACTCATTTCCACTGGTGACCGATTAGGGAAGGCTCTGCTTTTGCCGTCCCAGAATGGATTTTCCCCAGATGGTCAGGCGTGCTTCCCGCTCATGGTCGGCCGGACCATAAGGTTTCCATCAAAACTTCATTCTGCAGCAGTCCTTGCCATACTGATGGCGTGTGCTGGTGCATCGGCTGCGCTCTTCTAATGATGCTATACGAAGTTATTACGATGTGAGCGGGTTGCGGTCAATACTTGCGTATTCTATCATGATTTCTGATTCTGCCCCCAAATCCTACACTCCAGCATGCAATTCAAGATAGATAACTCTACAGCAAAGTTCACACGTGAGTGCGTATCCCGACTACTCCGTAAATCTCCTCTCATACTCCATTCCACTAAATAAACTCCTGAATTCGCACCTACTGTCCAAGACTCCCTCGCGCGGGTCGCGCACTACTAACGCGGCCCTAAATAAGCTGCGAGCAGGAACGTAGCTTTCAGCGAGAGGAACAAGGGCCACGCCGTTCAACCGGCCACGCTTGATTCCGCCGAATTCCAGGCATTTCCCGCCCCACCACCCTCTTCGAGTTATACATCCAAAGAACCCCCCCTTCCCTATATGCTACGGTTACCTGTACAAGAATACGGACCTACCACTCAGGGCACAGTCAAGTTGCAAATCTACCCAAAATAACTCTGAAGGATAGACCTATGGCTTGATCAACAACAGTCAACAGAACGAACTCTAGTATCGTCCGCTGAGTAATCATGTAATTTACTTATCGCGCAAACATGCCATATAACGCCCGACATCGCCAGTTTATAGTTCATGAACAGTAACTAAAGCCCATCCTAGTCTCTGAAATGGCGCTCTGCAGCCTGCATTCATGACTTACGCGTCAGAAATCACAAAAAATTTCATCGAGACGTGCAAACGCACAAAAGTGAAATATACACAAAATGCATTATTCAAGTTGCACAACGACCTTGCCCAATAGACGACATCTCAAAAGCGGCAGAGTATAACAGCAGAAATGCCGACCTTAACGGACCAGAGGTAAGCACCGTTAGCGTTCGCAGTTGGCGCCGCAGCACTCAAACCCTCGCCAGCGGTCCCGTCAGAAACGACTATACTTCAATAAGCGTAATTTGTTCCATATCAACAATATTTTTCAAATTGCTGAGCGGATTTGTAATCTACTTAACTGCTTGTTTTACAGGATCACATCTATTATGCCTTATCTTCAAAAGTACATCGGTTATGGGGTAGAAAACAAAGAATTCACAGAAATGTGCGCTTCTTCATTTGAAAAGGTTGTATTCTTCAGAAAAGCACAGAGACTATCGAGGATCGTAAACAAATTGAGAGATGAAAACAACTGGTTGTCCTTTACCACAAAACCAAGGACTCTAGCCCACCTTCGCAAAATCTATTTCCATGCCCGCAAAAATGCTCCCACCGTTGATCCGTCTTTTCTGTCCGCAAGCAGAACAAAGACCCCAGGTCTTTTGGCTTTCCATACTAATATTCCACTTCATTCGAATTCCACCTTTTGCAATATTGTCGCCCCTGGTTGGAGAAGAAATTAACAGCTTCTACCAACAGGCCGGTGTGGGCATCGACTGGGCTGTACTTGAACTCTCCTTCAATGTTGACGGAGTCAAAAAATCGCCCCGTTGGACCGTTCTTGGGAAATCGTGGACCGATTTTTTGGAGAGCGCAGGTTTTTTGGCTTCAAATTGTTATAACTTTCTTCAGATTGAACTTTTTGCAGTTCTTATCCCCCTGAATTGAAGCAGAAGGTTAGAGCTTTCCATTGAATACTTGAGCTCCTTCTAAAGTCGAAGGAGTCAAAGAATCGCTCCGTTGGACCGTTCTTTTTTCACGAATTTTCTCGGAGCTACTCTCCTGAAAACGCAGGTTTTCAACACTTAAACACTGATAACTGTCTTCAAACTCAATTTTATCGGGAATAATGATACCGTGACATCGCACGAGCTTTGTGCTTCATTAGAGATGCTGAACCTTTTCTAAAGAAGTTGCCGACAGGCAAATATTTTTGTTCCCAAACTTTTCTTGTAGCACTTTAGAAGTCAATCTACCATAGTGGTTACTCTTTTACTAACTTATGTCCAGTTTGAAGGCATTGGTTCACCTCTAGAATTATATTTGTGTACGTGAGCATGGATACTTTCGCAGTAGACTCTTCTGCTCCAGTGTGCGCCATGCCCTCGCTTGTGCTCAATATTTGAAGAAACACTCTGAAGTTTTACCTCTCACCTACTGCCGCGGGAACTAAGTCTTGATTCTAATCGTTCGATGGTCCCAGCAAGAGCCAACAACTGCGATCTTCATCACAACGCCCATTAAGTTCCTTATAGCGAAAACCACCTCTCGTCACCTACACCCAAAAACCTCTTCGTACTGCAACGTTGACTCCTGCGAATACGACCCCCCCCCCCGTTGGACTTTGTCCAACGGACGGTTGACATTCTCCCTGGACAGGGGGATCGTAAAAATGTTGAAATCGCTCCAACGTCACGGTTGACCCTTCACCCAAGTAACTCTTTCATGTGGTGCATTTACTTCCCCACTGCGGCCCTTCTTTATCGTGATTGCTTCCTCCAAAGAGCTACACAAAAACAACCAATCAGTGGAAACATGTAGCAACTTCAAGCTCGAATGATTATTGTAAGCCTCCTTGAGCTTGACGAGGATGGCAGATAACGTCATCATATGGAGACGGTGGTAGCAGTGAAGGGGGGCCTCTCCTGCTTATAGGGGAGGAGAAGGGGAGGAACGGGACATCCAAAGAATGTTTTCCCTCAAAACTCCCGTCAACACCGGCATCCTGCGCGACGGAAAGTTTTATGTGTGCGTCATGGGTAAAAAGACTTTTTTGGTTACTGGTACATGTTTCATAGCGTGGATTCACAAAAAACATGCTAAAAACATTTATTTTACAAACATCAGAAACCATCGGGCAACATCAACCAAGCATATGCCTCGCGCAATTTGGCCCGGGTTGCACGCATTTGTTCTTGTCATCCATCAAATAACCCTTTTCACATCCACATCCTGGTCCAACCGATGATTCATAAGGTGTAATTTCAAACGCATTGCAGTAGATCCAACCTTGCAACATTGGATACCACTTTTGGTGCGGGCCATTACAGTCCTCTTCTGAAAAGTCATCTATTTACTATGCATAAGCGAGAGAAGTTCCGATTATATTTACAGTGAGAATATTAAGAAATCCGTTTCATTTCCTCTGGCGGCACATCCAGGGGTGCTACGGGGATATGGTTGCCTTTTCTATGGACGACGGCACTTTCGAATGGATTGACGGCATGCGCCGAAAAGTCCAGTTTGGCTTTCCAATAATTCTCGTTTCCCCTTTTCGTAAACATCTTCCACTGCTTATGCCGAGTATGGCATCAGTACGTGCGTGTGGATTGGCTGAGAAATCCAAATCTCAAATCCCGACCTGATCATCAGTAGTTTACCGTTATTTGTACTGCCGAGTTCGCAACCGCACTGCAGAGGTGGGCCATCTTTGCGACACTAAGTTATTGACAAAAGTGTTGGAGTATAGGACTTGCAGCTGTGGGCACCGGACGTCGCAGTTGTTCAGAAGTGCATGTGACTTACGTTTTAGCCTAGGTATTGGTTTAATCGGTTGATATAGTGGAGCTGCTTCCATGGCTGCCAGAATCGCGAAGATGACGAATAGTGCGTACTTCATGTTGTCTGAATGCACAGCTTGTACAGTTTGGTAGTTGGCTTCCATAAGACACATTAGAAGTTGAAAAGCGATGTACCTCCTGTGATGGAGGCAAAGTTGGCTGAGGAAGACTACCGACGACCACCTGACGAACAGCACTGACGGCTTGCTTCAATCCGAATGAGGTGTTCCCCACTTTACTACCGCTTATATATGCTGAACTTGCTTGTTATCACAGTACTTCATGTGGATGCGATAAGGATCGTGTTCTCTTCACGTTCATTTGACTCATTTTTAACATGTGCATGGAGCATGGCACTTGCGTGCGTCAGGAGCCTTCGGTGGCGCTATCGACCTCATAATGTGGGGCAGGAGATTTCGACAGGCCGCTATCGTGACGCTACTGCTATGGAGACCTGACGCATAATCAGTAATACAGAAACCTTCTTGAGACTCACGCTCACTCCGCGCACCTGAGACCAAACACGACCCTGCTGTCCCTTTCCCTTCTGTGTTACTGGCCAAGGTCTCCATTTCTTACTCCTATAGGGTCCTTCGAGCAATTCAAAGTGAGATTTTCGTAACTGAAGTCATTAAACACATAATGCCATTTATTTGCTCCTCCCAAGTCTTCTTCTTCTCCCTGGCGTTAGTCCCGCGCAGTCGCAGGGTCCGCATTTGCTCCTCCCAAGTGTCCTGATTTATATTTGTGTCGCAGACAGGTAATCTCGAGAGATCAAGTCGAGTGTGCGTTCGTGAACAAGGACGAGGTGGAATCCTACGAGACAAGTCTGTTTCTGATAAGGACACCGATGAGTAAAAGCTGTGGTCATCTCTTCTCTGTGATGTTTAGTCCAATGGCTGTCACATGAAAATTCTAGGACAATAGAGCAAAATTATGACATAAGCATTCACCAACTTTTAGTGGTCTACAGGCCGCGTTCATACGCTCTACGTTCAAGTTATAGAGTCACGAAAAAGATGAGTATTGATCGGGGAAATGAAGGCGTAGATTACGCGGTTTCCTAGTCTAGAGGATCATCTGAGAAGGTCATGTACGTCCTTATTCTCTTTCCACTCTCCTAATTTTCCGAAACCTTGATGTAAAGGCGACCTTGCGGCCTCTTGTGATTTTCATCTGACGTCAAAAAGTCGCCGTCAAAAAGAAAAAAGCCTGAATATCCCATTACACTGTGAAAAACAGAATCCTATTTGGAACCCGAAAATCGTTTATTGAAAAAAATATTAATGCACAGAAACGTCGAATGTCTGATGATTGGCCCACGCTTTGCTTTGATTTCTTTTTCGCCACACACGAAGGAGAGGAGGGGAGGTGAAAATTCGATTGGACGAGGAAGTTCGCATGGACAATACAAACTAGATAACTAAATACGTAGAATAGCGACTTGAAGGACCTCCCAAAGAATTCTTTTTTTCCTCAGCATGAATGTGTCAGCTGTGATCACTAGAGACAACAAGTTTCACGCATGAAGATTCGGTTTCCGAAGAGAAACTCACAAAAACTACATTCTATGGACAGTCAAGGATAGGTCGCGTGGAGCCAATGCGGGGTATGGAAAGAATATTCCGCCCTCGCTATGGCCACGTATCAGGCCACGGCTTCGTAAGAAGGGTTAAAGGCAAAGGTCGGGCTCAGCCGCGCTAGAGGAGTAATTCCCGTGCCCGGAGGTTGTATGTGAGTAGCTGCACACATTGCAGCAACGTCCCACCTTGAAAAACGTCGTTAGGCCCCCGGGGCCGTCGGTTTCAATCCGGGACCGCCTCGTCAATCCGGGACCGCCCACCTCCGGAAGTGGTGCGTGGCTGGCATAACGTGTGAAATCAGCTAGGTTGATTGCCGTATCAACCGATAGAACGACTGACATCTCAGAAAACTTGTTTGTACGTGCCTCTTCCCAAGCCAGCCTCCTTCACTGCTAGTGGGAAAGAGGGTTTTGTTAACGGCCTTGTCGACGGTTTTTCTCAGTTTTTTCTCCACTGTCGTTCCACTTCGCATCTCTATACTCAGTTTCAATCGCCATAATACCCCCTTATTGAGCCCGACTTTTGCCTTTAAAGTATGCGATTTAGAGAATAGAGACAAAAAGATCGATAAAATATGGTGCAGTAGAAGTGCGAGATGTTGTTACTGCCGATGTCAGTGTGTCAGTAAGTCAAAAGGTCAAAAAGAGTTCCTAGTGACAGCACTCCTGGACCAAGTGGAAGCGTTCCCGCCAGGGTCAGGAATTCCCGACGCATCACCGGGAGGGGGGGGGTCGGGTGGGCCGCTGGAAGAGATCGGGCCCGATTGATGCAGTAGGATCATCACCGTCGGAGGACAAACATCAAGGATCGAATCGATGCCAGGCCAGAGGATTTCCAATAACAATTGATTCCGCCCACACAAAATCTTCGTGATTTAGAGGTGTCCGCTAGTAATTCTTAGTTACTTCAGTGTTTTATCACCACACAAGTTAAAGAATCCGAAATTCGCACGTTTTCCAAGGATATTTTATCTTTCAAGTGAGTCCTCAATCTGAAGGGATGTGAAGCACACGGCGCATCCCAGAGTGGGCCCAGTTGTTGCGCGCGCTTCAACTACGGCTCTTTGGAGGAAGAATCACAATTCAGGAAAATCAAAAAGATTCTCGTTTCTGTTTCTTGTTTCTCTGCCTACATTGTTGTTAGTTTTTGGATGACCACGCTGCTAATCCTCTTACTACCACGTGATGTCATCACCCCAACTTCCGAGTGAGTTCGAACTCACTTCGACCATTCTGACGGGGAATCTTCGGAGGGGTTCCAGAGGTGCTCTACGCATCTTTTAGGGAACTTCGTTTGGAAGCCATGACCAAGTTACCACGAGCTCATGGTCACATGGTAACTAGCAGCTGAGGCCACTTTACTACCGTCCCAGATCGTCTTCCTCGGAAACCTAAATGTGGCTTCCAATGCAACTTGTGGTGAAGACGTTCAACTCTTTAAGAGCATCTCTCAAACACTGGGCCACGCTCAACCTTTGAGAAAGGTGACCTAGTCGAAACGTCGATCCCGATTCTTTGACTCGAAATTTCTTTGGTACAAAAAAGCATTAAAATAAGCAACAGTGTCGGATTTCTTTGAGAGAAAAATGATATTAGGTACCGGATATCTTAGTGTCGCTTTTCTGAGTTCAGGAAGTTTTGGGGCCGATTACCATGGAAAATCAATATCTCAGAACGTTCTTTTTGCTTAATACTGCGAAATATGTTGCTTATTGTTTTCTATTGTTGGTTCACAATTTAACTTTCCCCCAATTTTTATACTTTTTTGAAAATTCCCTGGGTCCAGTGTGCAAATTCGTAT